TAATAAATTTTAATAAATATATTATCTTTTTTTATTATAAAGATAAATATAATTTATTTATTTTATATATACAATATGGATGTCAAATCGAAGATCATGAAAAGATTATTAATTTGATATATTATATATATAAAATCAATAAGAAATACAAAAGTTATCAACTTTTAAAATACATTTATAACTCAATAACTAATTGAAGGAAACACATCAAAAGTCATGGATATATTAGTCACACTTAGTGTCTCACTAGGTAAAATTAGAAAGAATTAAAGGTTTATATTAGTACAAGTGATATTAAAATAACTAAATAAGCTAAATAAATTTTTATGGAATGTCCGAACCTAAATTATTAATTATTAATATATCAATATTATTTGTCCAAACCTAATTACGAAGCATGATTCTTCGCCAAGTAAGATTTCGAAGCACCAGAAGCAGCCACGTAGGCTCAGCGCATTCGAGAATTATATATTGTAAAATGTAAAATTAAAAAGAATTAAAAGGTTATATTAGTACAAGTGATATTAAAATACCTAAATTGGCTAAATGATATTTATGGAATGTCTGAACCTAAATTATTACTCACTCCTTTTCAAAATAAGTGTCGTTTTGACTTTTTTGATTCATCAATTTTGCTATGTATCTAGACATAAATATGTCTAGATACATAGCAAAATGGATGAATCAAAAAAGTCAAAACGACATTTATTTTAAAAAGGAGATAGTAATTATTAATATATCAATATTATTTGTCCAAACCTAATTACGAAACATGATTCTTCGTCAAGTAGGATTCCGAAGCACCAGAAGCAACCACGTAGGCTTAGCGCATTCGGAAATTATATATAAGGGGAAGGGGATGTGGAAAGAGAAATCGTGGAATGGAAATAAATCAAATCAAATATGTTCACTCTAAAGATGGAATAATCTTGCGTTTCATTTTCTATAAAATCCAAATGAAAAAAAAAAATCAATAGCTAATTGAAGAAAGCAAATCAAAAGTAAGGAATATATTAGACATTTAATTGATCACTATGTAAAATTATAAAGAATTAAAGGGTTATATTAGTACAAGTGTTACTAAATTACCTAAGTTAACTTAATAATATTTATGGAATGTCCGAACCTAAATTATTAATTATTAATATATCAATATTATTTGTCCAAACCTAATTACGAAGCATGATTCTTCACCAAGTAGGATTTCGAAGCACTAGAAACAGCCACGTAAGCTCAGCGCATTCGGGTATTAGAGCATCTCAATGCTCTAATGTTGTTATAGAATTTTTTTTGACAAATGTCAAAAAATTAAATAGATTGTAAACCATGTTGGACAAATGTTGAGTTCACAACTATTAAATTAAAAAACCATCTCCAATGCACAATGTTGCCTAATTACAATATTATCTACTTGCCAATACTAAAATTTTAATATGAATTAATAAAATCAATAAAATAATTAAATAGTTTGAAAATGGTAATAATAATTCTATCTTTTCTCTTCATTGGCTAATTAGAATGTGGAGTAGAATGTGAATGAATCATCACAAAAATAAGAAAAACCCAAAGGAAAATAATGGAAATCGCCCCACCAACGCCCCTGGAGAGAGAGAAAATCTCATCTTCTCTACATTATAGACATTAATTATGTCCACATCATCACAATATTTGTGATCACATTGTACATTGGAGGATGAGCAATTGTGATACTAATAAATGTGTTGATGTAGAAGGTAAAATACCACTACAACATTGAGCATTAGAGATGCTCTTATATATAGAGGGGATACTACAGAATTTATATTTAAAAAATACGTTACTAACTCCCAGGTAACAAAAAATAGGAATTAACTCGCAAAGTAAGCATAAGATATACTTAAACGTGTGTCTTCTTC